AAAATTTTTACTTTTTTTTTTTTTTTTTTTTTTTTTCTTTCTTTTTATCCATCTCAAAACCACATATCGGTCGCTCGCGGATTTTATCGCGGGGGCAACGGGATTAATTGGTATGAAAAAAAAAAATTGTACGAGACTCTGCGATTGTCCAATTAACAAATGACTTCGCTCGGCGCGACCGGTGCGAATTATGGAGGCCGCGTACGTATATCATATGATGCTGCATTATTTATCGTATCTTCTCTCTACCTTCCGGGACACGACCGAGTTTCTGAGAGGACACGTGTGCGATATTCACGCACGTGGACGTGACGCTGTGCGTGCGTGAGCTTTTTACTGATAAGAGATTTTTTTTTATCATGTCACGCATCAACACCAAGGACGGCACGAATGCCACTTACGTGGAGTGGCATGCGAAGTGTTATTCCTCCCCCCCCCCGACCTTCATATATCCCCTGGACACTTAAAAAAACTATCCACCCCCCATACCATGTGATTTCGAAAAATTGGGCGAAGAATTTTTTTTTTTTTCAAAAAATCACACGTGCACGCATAAGTGATAAGAAACCAGATTGTGCAGCAATGACAGGAGTGATCGTGGCAACGAAAGGGCGAGATATATCGAGTTTATCAAGGTCAGAGTTTACGATGCAGAAAAAAAAAGTAAATTTATGAAAAAAAAAATGTAAAATTTATTGTCTCGTTATCAGCCGTTATCTTTAATTACGTGGTAGTAACGTTAATATATATAGCTCGCGTTTCCGGCGTCGAGAATTTATTAATCTCGCGTCTGCGACCTCTGATTGCGAGTTTCTTGGTTGCCAAGGAAGCGGGAGACGGTTTGTCGTTTAAATTTTTTTTTTTTTTTGAGATATTTAATTCGGATTAGGAAAAAAAAGGTCAGCAATCGGAGTCACGGATTTTAATTACGAAGCGGATATCCTTAGTTGGGCACGTAGGTATTACTTACTGACTTGGGAAAAGGCTTCGCGACGGTATCCGAACGGAGACCGTGCGTGATGGATTTTAACAGTGTAAAACGGCCTTTGAGTCAGGGAACTCGGGGAATCCTGATGACTGACTGACTCTGCCTTACCGACCGGCACGAACTTACCGACGTTCAGTCGCCGATGTAGCCTGGCGAGGGGGATGCGTTGTGCGATGGTAGTTAAGCCGGGTTTACATATGGCTGAGATTTCGCGGAGATTATTAATAACCAAGCGAATGTACGTATATGTTTTACGGGACTGTGGACCGGGCTTAAGGTTTGAGCGAGGCCAATTTTCTGGAGTTTCGGCGGTACCGCGGGTTAGCCGCTAGTGGACGGTATATATGTCAATTAAGCGGCAGGTCGGTGTTGTCTCTTGACGAATTTTGGAGAAAATTTTTTCGTTTTTATGCCAAATTCAAACGGAACGTCAATCGCGACTACGTTATGTCGGTTGATCGATTTTGGTTAAGTTTTGACAAAATTTTGATTTTTTTTTTTATAAACACCGTGGGTATGCTTACAATCGTGACTAGCTTGGCGCTTGGCCATCTACTTTAAATACATGGTGAATAAATATGTGCGGATAGAAAAATTTCGTAGAGATATATCTAAATATCAGTTATACGCTGGTAACGGGAACCATGTTGTTTGAAACTTTTTGACGGGGCTGTACCGTCATTTTTTATTTTTAACGACAAACATCGAATGGCTGTTTCGGCAAAAACCGGACGAACAATTGAAATAAACGTATTAACCGTGAAATAGGTTATGCCAATTTGAATAATAACAATGATCTGTCCTTTTTACTCGAGCTCGTTTCGACCAAGTCTATCGATAGCTTATCAATCGTTTTGTTTTCCCGAGAGACACCGCATTTAATGAGGCGTTTAAATTTTACCGCCAATTTCACTACCAGGAAGTCTCATTCAATCCATTTGATTCGGATTTGTCGCAGTGCTATTGCTACCAACTATTTTGTTACTGTCGTATGTCTTAATAGTCTAATGTAATATAATATATATTTATGTATATTTTGTTGCATGACGTGATAAGCTGGATGGAGGTCCGCCTGGGAGTAGTCGAAAAATAAAATTTCAGACCTGATTTTTTTTACATATATTGTATAATTGGTATCCCTGATTTATCAGTTCGTCGGTATCCGGTATCCGATCAATATTTCTAATTTTTCGAAAATTCCTAACCCTCGAGCGCGACCTGGTGATTCGAGTTGGAAATAAATTATAACGAGGAATTCCGGCCAACCCGTAATATATATATACGCAGTACAGTCTAATCGACACGTGGGGATAACTTTAGCCTTGCTGAAAAAAACATGTGATCTCGCGAATTGTACCATCGGTATATACCTGCTTGGCAGATCAGCCAGTCTTGCGAATTGCAAGTGAGAGTGAGAGAGAGAGAGAGAGGAGGAAGCCAACTCGTCAAGTTACTCCTAAAATTGCTCATCTCGTTGCTCATTGACAAAATTACCAGTTTCATTTCTCTCGCAGCCAGTATACCTATACACAGTTTTTTTGTTGTACATATACCTATAGCTCTACAAGCAAAGCGAAGCCTTGAAGCCCGCGTCATCGATCGAGCAGAACGTTCGAATCGGTGCTTCGATTTCGCTGACTTGATCTGGACATTACGGCAACGCATCGATACAGATTCAACTTTGTCCGCCTGAAGTCGCTAATGGTTCGTTAAAATTGCACTCGCGCAGCTGGATTTCCCGTGGATTATTAGTCATAAAAAAAATAGAAACAATTAAAAATCTTTGGCAACTGTCGCGCGTATTTATAAATAAATTTAAAAAAAAAAGTATTGTCGTACGACCTTGAAAAGAAGTCACGCTCAGTGCAGTACCGACGGGTCAAGGGTCATCATCGGTATAATGCCACGTAATTAGATGAAAGAAATTCAAAAAGCCATGATCTACGCGTAATAGACGGGTGCGTCATTCTTATTATTATTCTCATCCGTCCATTTCCTACAGGTATATATCGTATCTTCCTACCAGCACTTCTAACGCAAAGCACATTAATTACGAGCAATCGGACGATTAACGACGATTACAGGGTTAACAATGACCTCGTGACCCCCCTTCTTCCCCCTTTGTCAAGCTATCATTGCAATCGAGCGACTCGTCGCTGGCGCCACATAAAAATGCATCCTGATGGCTATACTGCCTTCGTGCCGCATTACACGCGTACAGTGCATGCATATCTATATATTACGTGTAACGCATAGTTTCGTAAATTCTCCGGTGGAAACATCCTATACCCCGTGTTAGCTAACTTCGATCCAATTACTGCAGTCTATTACGGGTGACTATTATACATTAGGAAACCTTGTTCGGTCTTACGCTGTACAGTATAGCCATAACCCTACAATGAGCGGCCCTGTATACTTTAGCTGTTACCTATTGTTAGAATCCGGTGGCGTTAGAGTGGCGCCACCGTCGATATTCTTTATTCGCCCGCGCGGGACTCGTGGGTTTCGGGACTCTGTAACGCGCTACACCTCTGGTAACGGGTTTTCAGGAAGACGTTACCTAAGACTTTTCAAGTGGGTTATTAATAGCGACTACCAGTGCGTGTTCGCAATGCATACACTGAGTGTTATTATTACAGAGTGGTCGATCGGAGTATAGCTGCTAGCTGCTAGTGATATATATATAGTATATTTATTTTCTTTTAATGGACTACTGCGAATCGTTTATAGCCCCACTTGGCAGATGGGTATCGGTCGTATGAGCTTGTAACGATTTTGTGACTCTGCTCCAATCCCCATGCGGGTACAATTTTTAATGACGTAATACATTGTACGTTGCGTCATAGGGTGTCCGTAACGCGCGATGGCTCGACGGTGCGTCTGAAATTTAAATTCATTGCTGATTTCGATCCTGGAAATTTATTTTGGTCCATACTGCTTTGGCATGAAAGAAGATTTATTTTTATAAGCTTTTCGTTGATTTTATATATGATTTATTACATAGCACTGTATTTAACGCAAGGTGGACAGCGGATAGGATGCCGCGACCTCTTATTAATCATTTGGATCCTTATCGATTGACTCTCGTGACCTTTGACCCAGGGACAATTTTTTGATACGGTTTATCCGCGGGTTCACGTCATGAAGCGATCTTCAGTCGGATTAAAATGTTATTTACGGATTTTCCTTGGGGATCGTTTTTTTTTTTTTTTTTATTTTATTTTCGGTTTTACGATTTATCACGGCGATTTTTTTTTTCCGAGAACTTCAATTCTGATTTATGTCCTGTTATCGTTCTTATCGCGTCTGGCGTCAGGCAGTGGGACGTTTATTTCTGTCTTCGCCCAAAAATCTTGCCGGTCTATTATACGACCCTTTAATCCTTTGTATTCGTTGGGTTTATTCCTGGGATATTAGGGATGCTGTGTTATTTGTGCTACTAAGTGAATAGGATTTTGGTACCGTTGGCGGTGAACTTGTCTCTGGGACAATTTGACTGTGTGACTTTTGCGACGACCATCGTATACGCAAGCAACATACTAGGTATATGATCGAATTATACACGGCGTAAGATGTATTAATTTTGTAGCCCTGAATTTTTTTTCCAAATTTTGAATAGGATTTTTTTTTCGTATGACGTAAATTGGACTGTCAAGAAATGCAGTGATCGTCACGACTCAACTGAAAGCATATGGCGCAAGGGTGTGGCGAAGATTGGGAGCGAACAATTCGCATGAGAAAATTGCCGGGAAATTTTTCTTGGCACGAACCTTTAACCCGGGGAGCTTTAGGTAAACCTACCTGAATCCATAAATTCTACGAGGATATTCACGTGGAATACGTTTTCATGGCAGCTGCAGGTAAGGATATGCAATCC